CAATAAAGGCGCCGTCGTCCATCTTGGTTGTCAAGTGAAAGAAGGCGAGGGGAAAGTACGTATTCATATCTCTCTCTACGATGAACTCGAGCAACTTGTGTTCAAAGTGCTTATCACCCCTTGATTCTTGTTTGCAGTATTACCTGACTAAGGTGGTGACTCTGACACCTCGATACATCATTGTGAACCAAATGAACGATGACGTGCATTGTCGACAAGGAGGAACAACTATTTTGGTGAAAGCGAAAGAGACCCGGCCTCTTCATTACCTGAAAGCGACGAGAGAGGGAGAGCTACAGCTTTCTGTCAGATTAACTGGCTTGATCAACGAATGGTGCGTGATAGAATGAAAGAGTCAGGAGGATTTGATATGATATTGTTAGATGATGCAGCTGACTTTCGGTTTTTGATGCAAAACGTTTTGCTCAGGTCTTCACCTTTCGATATGAACCAAATCGGGCGGATATTTGTGAAACTGAGACGCATGGGGAACGAAGAAGAAGATTTGATACGCACAGAGGTCATTTTGGAAGGTGCTACAATTTTCTTGATGCTGAACAAAGAAGAAGGTCCATGGCCTTTTCGAATCGACAATACATGCGACGTCGACGTGGTATTTTGGCAGGCAGTAGGTTTCTCCATAAGCGCGCTGGACTCTTTCCACTCATTTGCTGATTCGTAAACGCATATCATATCTCATTATTACGCAGCATTCCAAAGAACGATACCTCGTCAGAAGGCACTACAGTCGGTCATATGCATGGGATAATCCGTCGGAACTGAAGAAAGCTTTGGTTCTCAACGTCAACGGGCAGTCACGAGAGGTGGACGTTCTGGAAATCGGGCAACTGGTTCCATTCAGATACCCGGTCGCCGGGACAAACAAGTTTGAAATCATGGCGATTCAAGTCTTTGCAGAGGGTCCGACCTTGGTCATCAGGCTTTCGCCTTACGTCGAATCCGATAGCATGTTCAGGCGTGGATCAATACAGTCGCTGCAATCAATATCCTCGTCGCAGTCGGGGGGACAGCAAGTGGAAATCGGGAAAGACGAGTTTGAAGTGGTTGGTTCGAAGTTTTTGACCGTCTATCTCAAATGTCGCTCCCTCATACTCACTTTCCTCTTGTTCCTCCTCCTGGTGGAATTAAAGAAAAGGGAAGATGCAAAATTGCTAACAACAATCAACGTCAGACTGGAAGGCATTGGGATTTCTGTGATGAATCGTCAAATGCAGGTGCGAGACTCTCGGCTTCCAACTGTCGCCTCTGTCTTCGGTTTCATTCGGCACTCATGTTCTGTCTGGATGAAATAGGAGCTTTTATATGCGTCGATCAAAGATCTTGTAATCGAATACACCGACACGAGCACAATCGAAAATCTTGAATTCCGCATCAAGTGGTTGCAGGTAAGGCATAACTATGCACCAAAGAATCAATCTCTGAATGGATCCTAATTTGTGCGTGTATGTTCAGATCGACAATCAATTGTACGGGGGATTGGAGCCGATCTTCGTATACCCAACAGTGATCCCCAAGGGCATTCAGAAGAATGGTGAAGAGGCACCAGTCCTATGGCTCGAGCTTTGCAAGTCGAAGGATAAATGTATGTCATTGGATGATTCTCCGTTTTGGACCTCAGTTGTGCTGGAGGCTGACGTTTTGTCTTTGTATCTCAGCCTACGGTGTCGACTACTATTACTTCTTCATGATTTTGCTCCAAGAGCTTTCGTTCGACTTGGACGAAGATTTCCTGCTTGCGTTGCTTGACTTCTCGCAATTCAAGGTTGACGGTTGGGAAATGAAAGAAGAGTATGTACTGTTAACGAATATGGCAGCGGGATCAAGTGTAATTTCTGTGTTCTCACCCTCTTTGTTCCTATTTGCAGGGAAATGTGGGATAGGAGCACGACAATCCCAACACCCACGCTACAAGAAGGAGATGTCCGAATGTATTTCGAAAGGCTTCTTTTACAGCCTGTTCAAGTCAACATCTCCTTTGCGAGAACGCAGTCGGTGAACGGGGATGAAACTCGGTATGGGTGTGGCAAAGATTCGACCATAGAAAGACACCACCTCTGATATCCTGTCTTTTTTCTACTTTGCAGACAGCAATCGCGGAATATTTTGACGTTCTTATTTGATGTGTTCACGATGACTATCGGGAACGTTCATGTATGTGATGCCTTCCATTCCTTGGAGACGCAGATGGTTTGTTCTTTTTCGAAAGCTAACCTCGTCATCGCGTATCTACAGGACGCTCCCTTGAGGTTGAACGTAAGTATTCTGGCATCTGAACGCGCGATGACGCAAGATCAAGCTCCCAGATTGACAAATACTTGTCGTTTATCTTGATAGGCTTTGGAACTACATCATCCGATCGTCACATTTTCGCAGTTGGCGGATTTGGTCATCAAGTTCTACACTCAGGAAATGGTCGGACAGGTATGACACACACTTGGATGTAGGGTGAAGCTTCCGAATGTAATGACTCGAATGCTAAGCGAAACACCAACTCCTTACAAACGTATCGATAGATGCACAAAGTCATTGGATCCGCAGATTTCTTGGGGAACCCCGTCGGCCTTTTCAGCAACGTGAGCTCGGGCGTACGCGATTTCTTCTATGAGCCTGTGCAAGGGTTTGAAATAACGAGACCTCAAGAGTCCGTCATCGGATTGGTCAAGGTGAGTGTCTCTGATCAGCATCGTAAAATGGGCGTGAGCCGTGTTGTTGACATCGGCGCGCTCTGCTTCATTGCTACCAGGGAACGACGAGTCTGTTCAAGAAGACCGTGTATGGCGTCACAGATACATTTTCGAAAATGACCGGGAGCGTGAGCAAAGGTCGGTTCTATTGCTTGCTTGCAAACCGGAGGAACTGAAGTGAGAAGGGTATCTAAATTATCATTCGGAAACACATTTCCGCAGGGCTGTCCGTTATTACATTGGATGAGGAGGTAGGATTCTTTGCTGCTTTCGTGTTGTCATTCCACTCATTTCCGTTAGTACCGACCTAATCGCGATGTCTACCATTCATAGTACCAAAATCGGCGGCGTATTTCTCGCGCTCGGTATGTATATGAAATCTATGGCTATTATTGGGAAATGACATTGTGGACTCATGACTCTCTCATTCTGATTTCGTCCACCTCTGTACCTTGATCGACATTTTATAACAACCCACACTGAACAATAGAAACCGTCCCCGGCATGCCGTCTACGGAGTCACCCAAGGCGTCGAATCATTTGGTCAGAGTGTTTTCAGTGGAGTCACAGGTGTACTAGTAAGTTTTGGTGATTAAGATTGCCGAAAACTTCTCCTCGCTGTTGGATTGACACGATTATTCCTGTAGTCTAAACCCATCGAAGGAGCTGAGAAGGAAGGAGTCTCCGGTTTTGTCAAAGGTCTTGGGAAGGGTCTCGTCGGGTGAGTCAGCAGGAATGTCGACGAAAAACCTTTGCGCGGTGCAACATAGGAAAAACAAATTCTAAACTTGATTCTTTCCCTTCGTACATGATAGTGTGGTGACGAAACCGGTCGTTGGAGCTTTCGACTTGGTGTCGAATGTCACTGAAGGTGTGCTTTCAATCACTTCATTGCGAGTGCAGACTTCGAAAGTGCTAGGAGAGGAACTTACGTCATTTGTTTTCCATGTGGGACTAGGTATCCGCAACACGACCACCGTATTCGACGTGGATCTTGACCGCCAGAGATTACCAAGACATATCGGGAAAGAAGGCATTTTAAAGGTTTGTTGAGAGGACACTACGATGTCCACTTACTACCCTCTGCGAAATACTTAAAGTGGGGTATGTTGTCTGTTTACAATTTTAGCCATACGACCCTCGCGAAGCACTTGGGTTGAGTTGGCTCAAAGGCGTCGAAAACGGGCGGTACTTTCACGAAGAGTACGTTGCGCATCTTGGTAAGTGTCTTTCCCGTCTTTGATGCAGAGTATCCCTCTGGACGTTCCTCCCGATAACCTCTTATGAACTCACTCTTTTTCACTTGTAGATTTGCGCATCGAGGATTTGGTGGCGATGGTGACCAGTGCAAGAGTTCTCATGTTGCGAATCAAGAGGCTCAAAGTAGACTGGGAGATTCCTCATGACGGTACGTGTTTTTTTTTTCACAACGGTCATTCGATCACTCTTCTAAATTTTATTCTTTGCATTTCAGACTTGCAAGCGGTACGAGTTGAAGGTGGAGGTATAACACTACTGCGGAAAGGAACGAGGCAAGCAAAAGCGAGGATCATTCCTTGTCCTGATGTCTCGAGCGCACAGGTGAGTGAGAAGCCAAAGAATATTGAATCACGAGCGAAAAAGTAGCGGCTTCTGGGACGAAACCCTATTGCAGTAATAACATTGACCACGTCACATTTGCGAAATTCCAGTGGTTGTGCAACAAAATCGATCAAGAATTTGCAGAGTACCAAACGCGACTTCGACCGTTGGACTGAAAGGGGTTGCTGAGAAAGGCGGCAGTAGCTGGAGGGAAGCTGGGACCTTTGACATACAAGAGTAGGATAACAAAGGAAGACCGCAGGGTAACCGTTGAGCAGGACATTTGAATGATGGTGCATGTAACCTGTATCGGCACAAGTTGTTTGTATATCTATCGATGTTCATGATGTGAATAGATTACGAAGATACTGAAGATGTGACCAGGTCCTGTAAAAGTCGCATGGCCCCCCAGGTCTCTCTGACTACTTCCCCAAGTTGTTAGGCAGTAGTCGGAATTTATTAGCCGACAGAGCGTAAGCTTTATGCATGGAGAGATGGGAAAAGGATCTCGTACACATCTATTCTGCAATGTAAATGCATCTCGCCGAGCAGAAAAGGTTCTCGTACAAATCTATTCTGCAATGTATGTGCATCTTGCCGAGCACTAAAACATCAGCATGATCTTGGTCAGATGAATGTGCATCACACACGCAAGTATACTGCACTGCATTGTGCAAAGGAACAAAATGTTCTACACATTGACGTGTCCCCAAGGGGCGCCGCCGGGGTTTGAACCCGGGACCTCCTCCACCCTAAGAAGGAATCATACCACTAGACCACGGCACCCTGTGGTTGTCATTGAAAATCAAAAAGCAACTTATATTAAGAAACAAACGAAAAAGTTCCACAATTTTTCGTGTTCGTTCACTCTGTTTTTTTTTGGTTGATTTTCCGTGTTCAAATCCTCCAAAAAGTACACCAAACTCCTCAGTGGTACGAGCATGGACATTCTAAATGGTCTTGTCGGCCAGCACTGCGCTTCACTGCTTTGTCGGTGTTGGTTTAGATGGGATGTAAAGCAAAATGGAGACAGCGCAGGTATGTGTATGAAACTCAGTCTGAGCGAGATGCTGATGGGCCGGCGAAGTCTCGTCACAAAGTATTTCTGCAACATACACTGCTTTTCTCCATTACGACAGGCTTCGGCATCAACTGGGGCCTGCAAATAACTAGTATAAACTCCATATCAGCTCCTGTTGCAAGTGAGTGCAGCAACCGTTTTCAAATGGCTCTTTGTTCTCAAAAGTTCACTCACCTTCTGATCTTCAACGTAACGTCACCCTGAAGACATTGTATTATGTGTAAGCGCTTCATGGCATTCTATCGGTCGCTTCCGAGGTTGGGAAAAAGGGAACCAAAAGAAACTGAAATTGGAAACCAAATGAGCGGAGTTTGAAATTATGTTACACAAACATTGTGAAGTCCTTCTTTTGGCCTCGTCGTCACTTTCAACACTTTCCAATGGGCGGCCGCTACCAGACTTGATCATATTACAAGGGAATTTACAGATATGATTCTTCATATTGACACCCCACTGGCACAACCTCTCCTAAAAACCAGTCCGCGCCCTTTTGTGCCGTCCCTGCTCCCCTTGCTCAGATGTCTGTGATGAAGATAATGATGATGAAGACCCCTGAAGCCGAGAAATATGCCGAGGAGCTGCAACGTCCAGAAGTTTCCGGATTGCGAGTGTCATATCTTTCAGGTTCTGATGAGAGGAGAACCAAATGTGAGACATCAAAGTGTTGGAAAAGAGAAAACATGCATTCGTCAGTCAGGGCTGAAGGTATCGGAACTTTCTCACCATAAGAGCAGATTTAACTCAAAACTACAGTGGAAGAGGAGCAACGATAGTTGGGAAATACGTACCGCGGATGCGAAGACATCCGTACCAAGCCCCGTCCCCTCACTGGCCCCCGAATGCCCACCTCTGTCCGTCCTTTCTAGACCCAAGCCACCCAACGGTGATCCAGCTGTTCTTGCGGTCTTTTTGGATCGCGTCAACGAATCCAGAGTCACTTTCCAGCCGGGAGCACCTTCTTTCGGCGTCATTGGTGTTCCAAATAGAGGTGGTGTTGATATCGTTGAAGTGGTCGCCCGTGCACCTTGGGTTGTTGTCACCGCTGGGGATGATGATTTTGTTCTGTCTGCTGCCCCCACAGCTTGACTATCTTCTCGAGCGTCCGATGATGGTGACGTCTGTTCTCGTGACTCTTCAGACGATCCTGAAGAACCAGATGTACCAGCTGTAGACTTAGATTTGACATGAATCCAAGGGCAGTACCATCTTTTTTTGTTTTGAGACAGATCCGAAAAGGAGAAAAGAGAACGAGTGCAATGAATTAGTTCGGGTAAGAAGAAGATAAAAATGCTCAAGCTTGGAATAAAATACGACAAGATTTAAATAATTTAGAATGGTGCGCAAACCACTTTTTAACCTTACCTGTGCTCCTGCTCAACATCAAACCTCTCATCCTCCTCATCCTCCCCCGCTCCTCCATCCCCCACTCCAAACGTAGACTCCTCCTCGCCAACAAAATGCCACAGCCCAACTTTCCGTAAGCACATTCGACACCTCACGCACAGAAATCGAGCTCTCTGCTCGGCATCTGCACCCTGGTCGACATCATCACCATCAGCCCCGCCCTCCTCAACAAGTGCGTCCCTATTTTCATTGTTGGTATCTGTATCCGAGTCACCTGAATCAGCAAGTGAGGCCGCTTCCCATCCGAACAAGGCAAAGAGGGCACAGATTCTATAAAGATACGAGGACGACGCAGGATTTGTTGTAGATGGCGAGGTGGGGGCTTGTGTTTGAACGAGTGATACCAAATGATCCATATCCGCCGAAGTCTTTTGTTGATTGACATGCGCGAGAATTAGAAAAGTACCTTTGAACTTTGCCGCAATGCATATTAGATATTCTTCGACAACGTACCAACATACTCTCATCAGGTTGTTTGACGCGCAACCTAACGGCATCATCGTCCCTCTCTCCCCCGCCCACCGAAGCTAGTGCATGCAGTTCACTGAGCAGTTTGCCAACTCGTGCCTGGAAGGCGGCCAAGGCTATCGAAGATGATAGAACCGGAAATGTGTATATCGATTCTGAAATGGGAAGAAAATGTGGATTGTGAGGGCAAGACATTATTAAGGGGAAAAGAAGATTCATATGGCAAGTCAATGTGGAGCGTTCTGGCAACAATCCTTACCATCTTGAGGGCGTATTTTCCACGGGCAAAAAGAGTTATGCGATAGCTTCAGTTGCTCCAGAAACTTTTCCGTCAAGATGTCTGCTTCAGAAGTGCGGAGATTCAGAAGTTACTTCAAAAATGACCATGTGCCGTAGCGGACGCAAAAAGAAGGCTCATTCCCACCAACACACACACAAACCTTTCGATTCCCCTGCACTGAACTCTTCGTCCTCATTCTCCCCGAAACCCTTTACATCCGTCTCTGACAGATCACAGATCAATCGTGCCTGGCATGTATCGCACAACAACGTATCCACTTCAACGTTTAACCAACCGTGCCTTGCACACACGACGGGGTTTAAAGCACGAGGTTTGCCAAACCATGTGAGTTCGTGTTTAATAGATCATGATGGCCATGGGCGAGAAAAATGCAGAAAGATATCAAGGCGGGGGTAGCAGTCAAGGATAACATATCGTTCACCATTTTTCACTGGCCCTTCTGAACGACTGAGGACACAAAGCAAGACAGCATGAAAAGGATATTGTGAAAGTCGACAATCTCTTCGCAAATGCGGGATCTTTCAGCTGGACTTTGATGTTAAGGTTGACTCTAGATTGTTTGTGGGGACGGAGGAGGTCACTGGTGGTGGTGTTCTTTTTAGAGGAGGCGGAGGATGGTAGGAGGAAGATTTCATCAAGGGCGGAAAGGGCTCTGTCGAGTTTCCTTTTTGTGATAATGACTTCGTTATCATTCGAGGACGTCCCCGCGGAAGTCGTCACAGGTCCGGTCGCCGGCGTCGTGGTGAATCCAGTGGTCATATCGTCGGCTGTGAGAGGTTCCTGAGAGTTGTGAAGTTGTGAAGTGTTGAGTTCTCAAGGGTAATACAAATTCGCAACTCGATTCAGGAGGAATAATGACCAGAAGACAGGGAAATTAATCCTCAAGTACGCATGGAGTTGAGTCTTCGGAAATTCATATAAACACCGGTCCACTTATTTGATTATGAATTAGTGAGAGGAAGGAAGACTTGAAATGGGAGCAGCGATCCTTGTCAGAGGAAGTTGAACGGGAAAATGCATGGAGTGCCGAGATCAGCGAGGTTCGCAACTTGAATAACTTTGTGAGTCCTTGAGAATGTCCTTTTGAGTCAATTTCGGAGTTCCACCGCATCCGTGAATTACCTATCCATTCAAAATCTTTAGCATGACAAGAAATGACAAGAGAACATCCGTTGAAGAGTTTCCTGAAAAATGTTCACCCCCCCCCATAGCGAGGGCGACTCAGAGGGCGACTTCTATATTGGGCTCATCAGTCAGTCCATCTCAGCTGAGAAGTTTCTTTGAATTGTTTCAATGAATGATGAATGTCTACAGTGTCTCCAAATCCGAAGTATCGCATGGGATTTTTGTCTCGATGCAAACTCTCGTTTCTGTCAACTCATCCCAAGCACATCCCACATCGGCCTGGGTATTCGCTGGGTATTCGCCAAATTTAACACGGATTAGCGGATTCTTCACACACCCTGCACACACCCCACGTCTCCTCCCATTAACCACATTAACCAAAATCGCATCAACGTTTTTGCTTCCTTCTTTATGCATAGAGCAACGCGGAGTATGCACCCCCCTTTCGAACGAATTTCTCTTTTTTTTGACCTTTTTGGCTTTCATCAACTCTAACCGACGGGTAGTATGAGGTCACCAGGGTGGACACACTCTCGCCCTCGGACTCCCTGTTTTCACAAATGAAATGATGGCAGTCGACCCTTTTTGATGGCAGTAAGACTAAATAAAGTCACAGTTATAATAGGTATTTGAATTCAAATCTACACATGGACAGGCGTGGGAGGTGGATTGCAAACCTAGATTTCTATCTCTAAATGAGCATTGAGCGGGATATAGACCCCCTGACATCCTACACAAACCTTTCCGTTTCAAGGGTATTCTTCTATCAACTATCTAGATTCGAATTCCGAGTCATCTCTACCCATCCGCCAACCCCACACACGGAATCTCGACACACTCCCGTCTCCTCCCATTAAACAAAATCGCATCCACCGTCCTCGCTTTCTTCTTCTTAATCACGCCCCATTGAGCAACGCGGAGCATGTACGTCTTCAACTCTTGAACAGATGAAAAGTCCCTCTCGCCGAGGAAAAGGGCGAGTGCACCGGAGACGAAGGCGGCGGACATGGATGTTCCGGACATGATCATGGTGCCTGTGTGTGGGTTTGGATGTGCGGGTGTCGTCTTATCTGGGGTTTCCGGTCGACGCTGATCGGAAGTATTTGAGATCGAACTCATCCTGGCTGCTTTTTTGGGTTTGTTTCCGGCAACCACTGGAGTTGTGCTTTGGGTTGTTGTCTCCGTCTCCGTAGGTACCCACCCCACCTTATCCCGCGGCCACGTACTCTGAATCGACACCCCCGGCGCCATAATATCCAAACACCTCCCCCAATTACTATTCCACGCCACATCGTCCCACACGTCCACTGACCCCACCGTAATCGCCTCTTCAACTCTTGCCGGCGAAACCCTGCACGCGTCAATATTCTGATTTCCAGCGGCGACAACGACGGGTACGTTTTTGTG